CTTTGTGTGCCACATTTTCCAAATCCTGTGCCAACTCTTGTAGGCTCTCCCCTTTAGCACGGACTCTCGTCATAAACCTAGCCCTGTAGACTTTGGACTGATTTTGAGTTCCATACATGAGTTCCTGACCAGCTACCAGTGCTCTATAGTTGTGCCTGTCGTCTGCTGACAACTGTCTAAGTATTTCCAGTAGTTGTCCCTTGAGGCTCGTTGCCAGATATACTGCTTTCTGCTCCTCTATCCATCCATTCATTTCTTCCACGAGCTCAAATTGTGCTCTATATGCTTCCCATCGAATTCATGTGGCTAACTTCGTACTAGATCACCCCTATTGCTGACACTCATGTCTGGAATGTGACTTCTGACAGGACTGAATATGTCTACATTAGGGTTTAGCTGCAGGGTCTAGAAGGGGCTTCCCGTTGTCTGGGGCTGATTAGGTCGATGGCCAATATATCCTCCTTGTGTAAAAGATAGTAAATCATCTTTTAATGTATTTAATTCACTTTGAAATTTACTCATCTTTTCCATTTGTGTATGCTGGCTTTCTCTTAACTGTTGGAGACTTTCTTCTTGTTTATGTTTTTTCTCCTCCAAACACTGCTGTAGTCTCTCTTCTTGTTCATTTTCTTTCTCCTAAGATAATCTTTCATTAATCATGAACTTACATAACTTCCATCCCGGGGAGGGATACTCCAGCTAGTGTTTGGTCAAATAATTTTTAAATTAAAATTTACTTCAGTAAATAATGCACGATTCTGCATTAACTCTTTGCATGTTCTCCTGTACTTGTAATTATGTGTTTAAATCTGTCATATTTGACAGATATAAAAAATACCATTCATTTTTAAAGCTATATACTTTAAAATTAAATATAGAAAAAGACCTAGAGGAAATATATAACACTGGACGCGTTATAACAGTCTGCAAGTATCAAACTTACGCCTCATAATTGATACGCTCGTTTGTTTGCTCTAACAGAAGTAATATGGAAATTGAAAAGAGACAGGTGCTTTTAGCAACAGAAGCAGAGGCTTATATTGAGGCTTTACAAAAATTTGAATTGGAAAATATTGGCTCTCCCAGGTAAGTTTATCATTATTATCCACACTAAATAAATTCATTAGTAGATTTATATGATAAAACATATTAAACGTATGGTCAAACATCATACTATTACACAAGCTTAAATTAAAATATATATCGTTGTCATGGTAACGATTTGTTGAACCAACATAACACATTTTTTTCAAGCTATTCCTGGTCCAGTAATACTTCTTTCTAGTTCTACTACTACTAATAGATTAATTATACAATAGCATAAAAATATCTAATACATCATATGTTCGTTTTTTATATACAGTTTGTTTTAGAACAAAGCCACATTGGGCTATCTGCTGTGTCCACCGTGGTGAAACGAATCACGGATTTTTACATAGAGAAAAATAAAATGCCTTTTTACCTTTAACACTTCGAGTCTTGATTTTTAAAGGTCATGCAAATATCAGCGTTTTCTTTATTGCAGTAATGTAAAGAATACTGTTAAGTTAAAATATTAGAATATTTTGAAGTTGAAATTTTTTATCTGCTTCTCAGTGGAATCAAGATTTTGATATTGTGACATATATTACATAGTACTTTGCTGTTTCACCTCTACCACCCTGGGGCCAGATAGTAAATAACTTAATTTAATGTAGTCCTAAAACAACTTATTGATGTAAATTGTCAAAATGATATTTTTATTTGTGTAAAACAAAACAAAAACAGATATACAATTTATTTGCCCTAGGCCTTGCATCTACTAATTGGAGCCACAGAATCGTTTGTTTTTTTTAATTTTGGGCATTGAGCTGATTTAATGATTTCGGTAAACAAAAAGCTTCATTCTTTTTATTCAATGGCATATGTTATCGGACTTATGCTCCTGATACAATGTAAGTTTATTTGGTAGGATTTCTTATATTAATGTCAATTTGAGCCATTTATGTAAGTTCTTTAATAAATAATTTTGTATGCTATATATGTGTGTACGTTAATTCAATGATACTGCCCTTGTGGACTCTGTATTTCATGAATTAAAAGTTTATACCATATATGACTGGCAAGGAAATTGGCAATTTTATATGTTTTTCTTTTAATCAAATACTAATTGTTATGTAATTATACTGTACCATGATATTTGATACCTCAAAGCTTAATAATCACTTGCATCATGATGTCTCATGCATTTATGATTAGCTCATTTAAAATACTAGCTAATTTCTTTTCGTTATGAATTGGTTTTAGATCAGTTTATGAGTCTGATGACAAAAAATTCAATGTTATGTTCTTATAGATGGTTCCAACAACATGAATATTTGGGAAAACTAACTATGCAAGCAGTGCTTAGTGCTAGTGGCCAGGAAGATGAATTTATAAAGGAGTTCTTTTTGGTAATGGGCAAGGTCAGTATATTTTATTTATTGAATACCTGGTGTTAGCACAGGATTTAAGAATCAAATAATTCAGAATACCATGAGATGTTAACAAGTCAGCTACCTTCACAAACTATTATCTTGTTTGTTAGAAAACCTAAAAGGAGTATTTCTTATCTATATAAGCCTGTCCAACAATGTTTCATAGTTATTTAAGTTAACAACACCAACAACTTCATATGGACAGCTGCTCCAAAGTTGTTATTTGTTGAATAGAAAGTAACTCGAGATTTTTCAGATATTCAGCCCTCCACTTGTAACTTAAGTCCATAAACACAAAATTAATTCAACTTTGTCTGACCTTGAATGTTTTTAACCATCTTGATATTAATATTTTAATAGGTTTGTTTGGAAATTTTATTATAATTCAAAGTATTTTAGATCTGGAGTCAAACTAATAATTCTGATCTTCAATCTTTCCAGTTATCTGTATCTTTCTTCTGTCGGAAACATCCTCGTACACAGCAAAGAAAAAACTTCTATAACAATAATTACTCTATTAGCTAGTGTAAACTTAAGTTAACTTACATAAATTATATCTTGTATAAACTTATGCATTAGCATTTTCCCATAATTTATATTTATGTAATTTAATTTCCAAAGTAATGATAACTTTTTCCGTAAATAAAACTCGTGATTTTATTGTTTTATGGATGAATGATTCACAGATGATTTACATAAGTTATTCAAATGCAACTAGCTCGCTTGTATGTAACTCCAACAGAAAAACCCTGTGAATTTCTGATTCTTACATTAATTAAAACAGTTAATTTGTCTTTAAACAATAACACCTTTTACTGACTGAGAAAAATGTTAGAACTATCTAATTTTGTTGTAAGTTATCCAGTAGTGTGTATCCAATCATTACTAATATAGTGACAAAATTAATAGCTGTACAAATTTTTGTACTTCTTAAAATATCAGAATTCCAGACGTAGTCAACCGTTACTTGTACATCATTGAAAAAGAACATCAAGCAACAAAGTTACACAAATTGTATACAGAATATTTATGTTATATTATGACATCACAAAATATTTATGTTACTTTATGGTAGTATTACTAATTACAGCCTTACCTACTGAGAGTTGTTTTATTTTTATATTATAATGCCATTAGTTGTTTACAGGTTCCACTTGTTATACACGAATTGATTGCCGTAGAAACGTGGAAGGAGAAGATATTTCCAGAGTTTGTAAAACTAAAGTTCAAACCTTCAACATCTGTGCCTCTATACATGGTGGTATGTGTGCACTTGTGACTTTTAATTAATTAACTTTTAACTTAAATAAATATGTTTATGTTTATTATAAATGTGTGTGGGTATTGCAAGTCTTTTAACAGAAAGAAAAGTTTTCTAGAAAAATCCAAACTTTATTTTTTTAGATTCTGTGAAAACTGAAACTTTTAAATCCTGGATATTCGGTCATTGAAATATATTTTGTTAATTATGATGTTGCTTCTTAATCAAACCACATGACTCATTGAAATTTGCTTTTGATTAAATGCATATACAATTATTTAAGTTGTACCAGTTTCCCTTTTGTTTGTGGTTAATGAAACTTTGTGTTTTAATTTCTCTTTTGTTTGTGGCTAGTGAAACTTTATGTTTTAATTTGCCTTTTGTTTGTGGCTAGTGAAACTTTGTGTTTTCATTTCTCTTTTGTTTGTGGCTAGTGAAACTTTATGTTTTAATTTGCCTTTTGTTTGTGGCTAGTGAAACTTTGTGTTTTAATTTACCTTTTGTTTGTGGTTAATGAAACTTTGTGTTTTAGTTTCTCTTTTGTTTGTGGTTAATGAAACTTTATGTTTTAATTTGCCTTTTGTTTGTGGCTAGTGAAACTTTGTGTTTTCATTTCTCTTTTGTTTGTGGTTAATGAAACTTTGTGTTTTAATTTGCCTTTTGTTTGTGGTTAATGAAACTTTGTGTTTTAATTTCTCTTTTATTTGTGGTTAATGAAAACTTTGTGTTTTAACTTTTTCAATTTAGTTTTGTGTTTTGATGCACTCTGCATACTCACCAGCAACTCTTTTCACACTGTTTTATTTCAGCTATATCAAGAAGCTATATTGGTAACACTTTTGGAAATAATCTTATACCACCAGGAGGTACTGGAGTCAGGAGAAGATTATATTTTGGACCTTCTAGGGTATTGTCACAGGAAACTGACAGACCTCCTCTCTGGGTGAGTCTAAATTAATTTGTTTTTGCCTCTACTGTAATAATCATAATTTCTTTTATGATATAGATTAATGTTTTTGTTTTAATAAATATGATTGAGTGTATAATAATTGCTTTAGATAATTATTATTTTTATCACAGTAATTACAATCCAGAAAAAGATGTGAAGGAAAAAGAATCTGACATTTCCAGGACCCTGATTGATGACTTACAGAGACATAAGAAATCCATGGGGTTCGACATCGCAATGAAAACAGTATCAATTCTTAGATATATAGCTGAAAATTTGTCTAGGTGATTAAAAAAACATTTCTTACAACTGATCAATTGTTACAATTTTGTCTTTATTTTCAAGAAAAACAAATGATAATCCTTTTTTGTTAATATTTTAAAATTAAGTTTAAGTTTGTTTCGTTTTACTAGTTTTTATCAGACTTTAAAAATTATGTTAAGTTTGAAATATTTTATCAATATTAGACATTTATTAGTACAGCGTAAGCTAAACGTTAAACTTTTAGACACAACTACATTCGACATCTTTGTAACCTTTTGGGCTGAGGACAAGGTCATGTCACATTTCTTGGAAAATCCTTACCTCCTGCTATGATGGAAGCAAGCTATTAAGTTTGGCTAAACCAAGACAACAACTTAATATCTCAGAAATTAAATTAGTGACTTCAAACAACATATTTAAGTGCAAGTTATGCTATAATTACCAATAATGTTTGTTACTCTCTAGATTTCTACCACATTTAATCCATTCAAACTAGATTTGAAATAACCAAACTTCTTTTGGAAAGAAAGCATAAAAAATGTTCCAACAATTATAAATTTAGAGAAGACGCTAACCACTTGAATTCTTCTAATTAACCAGTAACTCACGCAAGAATCAATTAGTGTATGCACAAAATTGACTTATCCATACATGTACAGGTTTTTGTTATATGTAGACAGAGAAGCTACTAGCAGTAAAGTTAGTATTATTACAGTTAATCAAGGGAGTTTATAACTAGTAAATAATTTGATGCTGTATAGAAAGATTTCTTATTCGCTTTTTTGTATTACATTCGATACCAATATGTGTAACAAATTTTTTACGAAAACACAGTTAAATAACTTGATTGATTAATCTTCATACAACTGCTTGGGTTGTAGTGGATTTTATTTTTTAGGTTGACACCAGATCACTTTACTTGTTATAACATGTCTCCTTGAAGTTAATGGATTGATTTGGCATTGAATCAAACAGTTGACCAGCATATATTTGTTTTTTATTGTACGTTTTTAACCGCAGTGTTACATAAGTTAATAATTTCTCGGAGCACTTTCATACTTGCATACTGATAGAACAGATGATACGTAGCAAAAACAACAACAACAATAAACTTTTGTTATCTTTCCCTAGTCTTCCACTTTCAGTGACTCATCATATTCTGAGCGTGCATGACTTTCCACTTCTCCTTTCCTTCTTGCTCGAGGAACCACCTTGGGTTCGATGTTCTGACAATTCAGAGGAGAAGTACATCGATGGGAAGTGGTGTTTGGTGGAAGAAGAGAATCGATTTCAGATAACCAAAATAGAAGGACAGGTTATATAATGGTTTTTCTATATTCCGTGTTCTTTGTTACGTTTTCTACCAATTATTATTAATAATACAAAAATTGGTAAAATGTTTTATACTAAATTGTACATAGTGCTGAAAATAAAAAGGAATATGATGTAATAAAGGTTTCAGAGGTGGAATATTTTGGCCAAATAGAGACTTGTGAAACTTTTTTTTTGTTTAATAAATAATTTTT